ATACATATATTATATTAAGAGAGAGTAAGTAATTTCCCCTGGTTTCCAAGGTTTTAATGTTCCTCGATCGAGGGATCGTATCGCCCGAATGGTACTCCTATCCAAATACCCACACGGAGCCGTGGACTTTAATACCGTGCCGCAAAGCTCGTGCTCGGGTGTGTTCGACGGGTCGCGGGTGATCCGAGGGTTTCTGCGCGCGAAGCGGACGGTGTTTAACACGTGGGCGAAAGGTAGGTCAGGCTGTAAAAAGCTGTACACGGCCGGCCGGCCGGCATATGCATACACGTACACGTAATTCGCAAGGCGATCTCCCAGCGTGTCGGCCGCTCAAAGGAGCAGCCAGGTGAAGTGTACATATCGTGTACTAGGCGCGCGAGGCCACCTTCGCGCACGCACGAGTAGTCAGGTGGCATCGGCGAGCGCAAAGCGGTTATTTTTAGTTCAATTTGTCGCTCGAACGGTACCGCAAAGCGAGCGCCGTGTTATACGGCGCGGCTTTCTATAGGGATTTTCACGTAAGAGCGCGCCCGCGAATAAACGTCGCCGGTATCGTTAAAAGCGTCAACTAGTTTATCGCGGCGGAACTTTCGCCGCCCCGCGCGGCAGCCGGTTTTAACGCGCGGGCGCGCGACATTATATATAATTCCGCGAAACGCGCAAATTTGCACGCGCGCGCGCGCACGGTCGTCATCGGGGCGTAAAGTCGACGGCCGTTTATCGTCCTTTCGACGGTGTCCCCGAGGGCCGAACGTTTCGCGGATTAACTCTCGACTACGGCGAGACGTTGACGAACTTCCTCGCTTGCGCGTCTACCGCGTCTCTCACGAACCAGAGGGGTAATTTCGCGCGCGCTTTTGGCGGAAAACGCTTCGTCGGTACATCGCGCGAGGTATTGTAATTGGCAAATATTACGGATATGCACTGTACTCTGCTACGGTGTTGTTTTTTTTTTTTATTGTTTCCCGGAAACAGACGTCTCTGATTGGGACCGGTTCATTTCGGAAAGTCGTTGACGAAATTCGCCCTTAAACGCGCAACGCGAGAAAGCGTGCGATTTCGTAGCTGTTAAACACGCCGGCGGTTATTGGAATGTTTGAAACTTTGCGTGCGATAAGAATAATGAACGATGAAGCGATTTTCTCGAGTCTATTCGAGAGTACAATTTTTTCAAATCTTATCAGTGCGCGGAGCGATAAAATAAAATTAGGTAAATTTATCCGAGCGCGATATTACACCACGCAGCTCGGGATTCACGAATGCTATTTCGCGATCGGTTCTATTGCTTCGTTCAATTATGCTTTCCGCGCGCGATTCGTGAATAAATACGTAACAATGTGTACATTTACTCACGCTTCGCACGTCGTCCATTGTCCCGCCCTGTTTTGCTACCACCATTCGCAACAATGATATAGCAACAATGGTGAAATTATTTCTTTCGTTCACTTACTTTCACGTAGGCTCTGTAATCGGTAATAACAAATACGGTAATAACAACGAAGGTGAATCTGTGCTTAAATAAAACTTACTCTTTCACTTATTTTTACATTGTTTCTTTTTTCGTAAGTGAAAAGACAGAAACATATACGCATTATATTTTGCACGCGTCGTATGAGGGGACTTATTTCGTAATATAAATTCTAGAAACAGTACTATTCGAGATTCGAAATTTCGAAGCTTCGAATATAACTTTTAATCCTAGTAACTTTCACATGCGAATATAAATTTTATCCTCAGCGAGTTTTATCTTTAGAACAGCGAATTTATAACCGTACGATATACCTCGACGCACTGGAGACTTTAAAGTGCCGTATTCGATCAATCTTATCCGTAATCTTTATTAAACACGCTTCGTAAGTATTGAAACGTGTTACTATTTTAACGACTATTATCAATAAAACAACCTCTGTCACACAAACGATCCACCCCGCCCTGATATACTTAATGACATTTTCCAACCAGTGGCTCGTGAGAATATAGAATTATCCGCTCCTGATGTTTTCGCGGAGGAAGAAAAAAATAAGTTAGACCAAGCCCAGCGGCGTGTAATTAGCAGAGTCAGCGTTCTTTCTCGGCGAGAAGGAGGATAATTTCGCGGAGTCGGGTGTTTCCACGACGCGCACAATGCGAGTGTTCGGCCGGTCGGCGAAGTTGGAGCGCGTCCGCGTTATGCGTTCACCGTTGTACCTTTACGCGAGCGGCAAATCAAAATCAATAAGCCGATTATTGGCCGCGCTGAGCGGAGATTACGTCGCTTTGAATTGACACCCCGACCGACGGCGAGCCTCGTATGCCGATTCAATCCCGCGGGCTTTCCCGACAGGCGGACGTCCGTCCCAGTTCCTTTTTCCACGAGTACAACCGCGCGAGAGAGAGGGGAATGGCGGGAGCGGGAAGTGACGGGGGGGGGGGGGGGGGG